CTCCTCCATTCCTCCTCCATTCCTCCTCCATGACTCCATTCCTCCTCCTCCGCCATTCCCCCTCCTCCACTCCTCCTTTTCCTCCATTCCTCCTCCTCCTCCTCCTCCGTTTCCTCCTCCTCTGTTTCCTCCTCCTCCTCCTGCTCCTCCTCCTGCCCCCCCTCCTGCCTCCTCAATCCTCGCCGGGCCCCACTTTGCCGACCCGCGGGGGTGGTGGCAGGCCGCCGGGTGCGTGCAACGCCGAGGCGCGAGAGGCCCCTCGGCTCCCCCGCCGCCTCTCGTAGGCTCCTTCCTGCTCCCGCCCCTGCCCCCCTCCGAGGCGCCTCCTCGACAGTCGCGCGTCATGCACACGACTCCCAGGAGGGCCCAGAGAATCGAATCGACAGAGCGAATCGGCGATCGGCGTGCATCGGATGGGCGGAACTCGAAGGCCAGGTCGGGAGGAGGCGAATCGGCATAACCCAAAGTCGGAGTCCGAAGTCGAATCGCATCGGAACCGGAACCCATCGAACTCGAATCGAACAGAATCGGAGGAATCGGAACGGGACCTGTGCTCCACGCTCTCCCCTGGAAGATGCTCGGCCCTCTCTGGGTATTCCTTCTCACGCACAGGGCGTCAAACTCGGGCGTCCCATCGGCTTCCCATCCGATGGTTTTCGGTGTGTCAAAAAATGGTGATCTCGCTGCTGTGCTCCCGTCGTTCGTAATGGCACTCTCGGCCCAGCGCGGGCCACTTTCTTCGGGACCCTGGTCAGGCTTCATCGTTGTCGCCCACACACATTTCCCCTCCTCCGCATTCCCCTGGTCCTCCTGCTCCTCCCACTCCTGCTCCTGCTCTTTCTCGTCCTTCTCCAACCTCATGCTCTTCATTCTCCTTCTGCTCATCCTCCTGCTCACCCGCCACCACCTCATCCTCCTCCTCCTCCAATGCCACACAGCTCCCCTTGTCCGGTTGCGCATAACACAATGAGGTCTTCTTTTGGGTTCCAGGTCGGCTAGGGCACCCGTCCGCGGGTAGAGAGAAATCAGCGCAGTGGGAAGCGGCGATGGGAGGCAGCGACAGGATGTCAGATGTGGCGCGAGCGAACCCAGCTTGCCAATCCTCCCTCGCCCCTCGCCCGCCCCCCGTCCCCCCAATCCTTCCTCATCGGTTCCTCCTCAGGGCAACGGTGCGCCAACCACCCGCCACTTCTTGTTTCCCGTCTGGGTCCTGCCTCCCCTTCCTCCTCCTCCTCCTCCTCCTCTTCCTCCTCCTCCTCCTCCTCCTCCTCCTCGATTCTCGCGGAGCGATCCTCGAGCACCGAGGATTGGTGTTATTACACGCTGCGGACCATACGGCAGCATCCCACACGCGCCTCCTCCTTCTCCTGTTCCTCCTCGAGGACCAAGGATTGTGGAGCCCCTCGGGCTTGAAGGCGCGCGCGAGGCTTTCGCACTGGATTCGCGCGTGTGTCTTTCAATGCTCTGTGTGCTCTGTGGCGTCCTCTTCTCTCCCCCTCCTTCGTCCTCTCCTCCTCCTCTCCTCCTCCTCTCCTCCTCCTCCTCCTCCTCCTCCTCCTCCTCCTCCTCCTCCTCCTCCCCCTCCTCTTCCTAAGAAGAAGATTCAATGCCAGTTTTTCGGTTTTTGGTGTGCCCCCCTCCCCCCCCAAAAAAATCTGGGCGTTTCTTTTTTGTTTGGGGGGGGCGAGGAAATTCCTCTCCATCCTCCTCCTCCTCCTCCTCCTCCTCCTCCTCCTCCTCCTCCTCCTCCTCCTCTCCTCCTCCTCCTAAAAAGAATCAACAAGTTGTTCGGTTGTTGGTGTGCCCCCCTAAAAACTGGGCGTGTTTATATATATATATATCTATAAATGTGGGCAAACAGAAATCCTTTCCCTCCTCCTCCTCCTCCTCCTCCTCCTCCTCCTCCGTTTCCTTCCCCCAGAATATAGCGTTTTGCCATTGAGATGCTTCGAAAGAAGGAATACCTCGCTTGGTATTGAATTGGCATTGGTTTGGCAATGATTTGGCGTCGCATTGGCACTGCGTTGGCATCACACTTTGCAGTGCGTTGGCATTGCGCTTGCATGTCGCAAGTCTTGCGCTGGCGGGTCCTAATGGAAAATTCCAGAAGAGGGCTCACATTGAAACCCTCTACCAAAAGGGTTCCTAGTAACATCCTCCACAAAAAAGGGTTCATACATATCGAAAGCATGCACAATAGGATTCCATGCGAAGCCCTCCACAAACAAATAGTCCTACTGAAATATATCACACATGCGTTCCCCCATCGGTATTGCATTGAAATGGGGTTGGGACCGCTTTAGCATTAAATTGGCATTGCGTTGGTACTGCGTTGGCATTTCGCTGGCGAGTTCCAATAGATCCCTTCGCGGCATGATTCTTGTCAGCCCCACTCGAGTGGTTTCCGATTGAACCAGTGCACAAAAAGGGTTCGCATTGAACCCATCCGGAGCCCTCCATAGAAGGAGTCGTATTGAAACCGACCACAAGATACCCCCCCAGGAATTTCATTGGGATTGGGTTGGGGTTGCCATGGCATTGGTTGGCATGGCGTTGGCACTGATTTGGCTTTGCGCTGGCGAGTTCTAATGGCTCCCACCGTAGAAGGATTCCTATTGACACCTTCCGAACGAAGGGTTCCTTTTGAAAGCCCCCGCTTAGAGGGTTCATGGTTCAACCCTCCACATAAGGATTCCTGCCGGACCCCTGCACAAGGAGATTCCGATCGACATCCTCCGACGAAGGATCCGTAACCAAATCATCAACATAAGGAATTATGTTGGAATCTGTTGAAAGACTGGAACCACGCCATCGGTATTGCATTGGCATTGGTTTGGTAACGGTTGGACATCGCAGTGGTAGTGCGTTGGCATTGCGATGGCATTGCGCTGGCGACTCCCAACCAAACACACCAAAGTTTCACATTGCAACCCGTCACAAAAAAAAGGTTCCTTGCGAATCCCTCCCCAAAGGGATGCCGACTGAAATCCTCCGAAGAAGGGTCCGTCGAACGATTCCTGTGCGGAGGGCACCATCCACAGAAACGGTTCTTATGGGCAGAGAGCATCTATACACCACCACCGTGCCAGGCCAGGGCCATCCTGGGCCCTGGGATGGTGTATACGCCCTCCTGGCCGAGCCAGGAGGGTCTACACACCATCCTGGGGCCCAGGATGGCCCTGGCCTGGCACGGTGGTGGTGTATAGATGCCTTCGCTGGATTCTTAGAAGCATTGATATTGAGCGCTACCACAAGCAATCCACCCCCACTGGCGTTGCATTGGCATTAAGTTTGGATCGCCTTGGGATTGGTTCGACATTCCGTTGGCACTGCAATGGCATTGCGCTGGCGAATCCTCATGCCCCCCTTCGCAAAACGATTCCGAGTGAAACCATCCACAAGCAAGATTCCTTCTGGAATATGTAACAAAGGGTTCCCCCTCCTTGGCATTGCATTGACATTGGATTGGGACCGCCTTGGCATTGGCTTGGCATTGCGATGGCACTGCTTCGGCATTGCGTTGGCATTGCGCTGGCGAGTACTATGGCTCCCTCTGCAAAAGGACTCCTACTGAACCCCCCACACAAAAGGATTCCTAGTGAAACCCTCCACGGGAGGATCCCTATCGAAAGCCTCCACAGAGGCATTCCTATTGAAATCATCTGAAGAAGGATTCGTAATGACACCGTCCACAAAAGATCCTGATTGAAATCCACCGAGCGAAAGGATTCCCCCATTGGCATTGGATTGGGCAGTGTTTTGGCATTGCGCTAGCGCGTCCTTGTGCCTCATTTCGCACAGCGGTTCCAATGAAAACCCTCCAGGAGTAGGGGCTTCCTTTTAACATCTACCACAAAGGCCCCCCCATTGGTATTGCATTGGCACTGGTCTGGGATCGCCTTGGCATTGGTTTGGCATTGCGATGAAACTGGTTCGGCATTGCGTTGGCATTACGCTGGCGAGTCCTGTCTCCCTCCGCAGAAGGACTCTGACTGAAACCCCCACACAAAGGATTCCTGGTGAAACACTATACGGGAGGATCCCTACCAAAACCCTCCACAGAGGCATTCCTATTGAAATCATATGAAGAAGGATTCGTAATGACAACGTCCACAAAAGATCCTGATTGAAATCCACAGAGCGAAAGGATTCCCCCATTGGCATTGGATTGGGCATTGCTTTGGCATTGCGCTAGCGCGTCCGTGTGCCTCCTTTCGCACAGCGGTTCCAATGAAAACACTTCAGGAGTAGGTTTCCTTTTAACATCTACTACAAAGGGCCCCCCATTGGTATTGCACTGGCACTGGATTGGGATCGCCTTGGCATTGGTTTGGCATTGCGATGGCACTGCTTCGGCAATGCGTTGGCATTGCGCTAGCGAGTCCTAGGTCTCCCTCCGCAGAAGGACTCCTACTGAACCCCCACATGAAGGATTCCTAGTGAAACGTCCCACAAAAAGGATTCCCTCCGAAGATTCTTAATGACATCGTCCACAAAGGATTCTGATTGAAATCCACCGAGCGAAGGGATTTCCCAATTCACATTGCATTGGCATTGGTTGGCAATGGATTGGTATCGCATCGGCATGCATTGGCCTGGTGCAGGAGATAGACAGAGAGAGACAAAGAGAGAGAGAGAGCACGAGATAATGATAGAACGAGAGAAGCATATTATGAAGGGAAAGAGCGTCCCACTCGAAGGGCTCCACAATCCCCCGGCCTCTCCTCCTCCTCCTCCTCCTCCTCCTCCTTATCCTATTCCTCCTTCTCCTCCGCGTCCTCCTCCACATCGCCGTTCTGAGACAACGAGTCCCACCTCGTCGGGCTCCCATGGTGAAGGCTGGACGGCACAAGAAATCACAACATCTTAGACGTCCCGGCGCGGCGCATTCCGTTCCGATATCCTTGCCGTAGGGGTAGGCGAAATAGAAGTGCACCAGGGACAGCACGGGCATCTCCGCACATATCAAGAGAGCGTGCATCATCATGGCCTCCTCTTCTTCAAAGCCCAGCGCGTATGTCAGAACGAGCCACTGGAAAAATGTTATGGATACCACACTCTTGACACCCAAGAACTTCCAAAACGGCTGGATATCGTGCAGATCCGCAGCCGTGCCTTGTGCACGCTGGGGCGTATTGGAATGCTCCTCTGCTGCCTGGTGAGGTCTCATGTGTGTTCCAAGGCTAACCCAGCCCCTACTCGCAAGCTCCGCTAACACCCCGAGGGTTGGATGTTCCAGCGCCCACTTTGGCCTCCACTCGGCGCCAAGACAATCAAGAAGATCCACGATCTGACCTCAAGATGCCCACCCTACAGTGCCCTAAAGCGGCCCAAGAGGCTGCACGGTTTCCCCCGGAGCCGTAGATGACCCGAGGAGGAGGAGGGGGAGGAGGAGCAGGAGGAGGAGGAGGAGGAGGAGGAGGGGAAGGGGGAGGAGGAGATGGAGGAGAAGGAGGATGAGGAGGAGGAGGAGGAGGAGGAGGAGGAGGGATGGGGGAGGAGGGGGAGGAGGAGGAGGAGGAGGAGGAGGAGCAGGAGAAGGAGTAGGAGGAGGAGTAGGAGGAGGAGGAGAAGGAGGGGTCGCCTAAGCCCTTCGGAGAAACCCTCCACCAGAAGGGCTCAAAGAGGCACTCCGGGAGGCCCGAAGACGCCGACATTCGCTTGTCCCAGAAAGGTTGTCAAAAGCTTTCAGCGGTCCGGTCCCTCCCTCTCGGGTTTTTTGGGCAGCGCAGGACGGCCCCACGGGCTTCCAAGGCGGCCCCAACCCCCCCTCGACGGCCCACAATGCTCTCAAGAAGGCCACGAGAGGAACCCAAGACGGCTCGAGATACCTTCATCACGGCCCGAAGGTAACCCAAAAAGACCCCAAGACCGTTCAGAGGTGCCCCCAAGACCGTTTTCGAAAACGTCCGACGGGCCAGAGGGGCCCTGACCTGACACGGCCCAGAGAAGGCCCCCACCACAACTCGAGAGGGCTCCAAGACGCTCCCAGGGAGGCCCCCACGAAAAGGCCCCGCAGAGGCACCGAAGAGACGAAGGAAAGAATAGGTCAGGCGTGTCCTGGTACACGCGGAGTTCGGACGACACATTGTTTGACAAATACATCAAAACTCATAAAGTAATCGAAGCATGCTCAACATACCATAAATCGTCCCCAGGTTACTTTTCGACTAGTTGGTGAATGTTCCTCCTGTAATAGGTGACGCGCCCGACTTACAGGAACGAGGTCGATTTCAAGACCCGCGTGAGTTCAGACCGCCGCGCGCTGCTTTGCAGCGGACCCTCGGCGCAACCTGCTCCACGCTGCGCTGCTGCGCCGAGAGCACGGCGGAGGGGCTCGCCGCAGACGGCCGGATAGGTCTTGAACGCATCCTCAAAGTACATCACGAAGGCGATGGCGAAGGAGCACAGGAGGTAGATCACACACATCGACGCGGTGCTGGGAGCTTCCTTTGCAGAGGAGCGCGCCGGGTGTAGCGCTGCCCCCCGAGACGGCGGAGGCACAGCACGGGCTGCTGCAGCCAGTGCACGAGCCTGTGCCAAACCACCCGCCAGGCCTCGAATCCGTGCACCAGTCACGCCGCTCCGTGCCGCCTCGGCTCGGGAGCGAGCTGGGAGGAAGAGGAGGAGGAGGAGGAGGAGGAGGAGGAGGAGGAGGAGGAGGAGGAGGGAGAAGAGGAGGAGGAGGAGGAGGAGGAGGAGGAGGAGGAGGAGGAGGAGGAGGAGGCCACCTCAGGCCGGGGCAGGGTCACGGCGGAGGGCTCTGCACAGCTCTCGGCCTCCAGGGCCCCCGCCAGGGCCAAGGGCGATACGGGACGTACCTGGAGTGGGGAAGTTGTCAAACTCTCCACTTCCTCCCCCTCCCCCTCCTCCTCCTCCTCTTCTCCACCTCCTCATCCTCCTCCTCCTCCTCGCTCGATGAAGCTGTGGAACAAGTCAAGATCAACTACACAAAATTTCTTGTTGCCATCACACCCAATACGGGCATCGGCCGTGACCCACCAGGAATCACAGCCCCCACCACTGCTCACCAGGATAGCGGCACAGTCCCGATGTCAACAACCCCGATGCGACAAACTGAGACGTCCTGAGCTCGCCTACGCACAAGAGGGCCGACCACGGGATCTCACACACCAGCAGCATCCCACACCGCACCGCCGAGCGCCAAAAGCCGCCAGGCTACGACGAACGATCGGACGAGTAACGGGACAAACAGGTTAGAATGGCTAGAATGGCTATCCTAACCAAGCGTCCTCGAAATCTCCGATCAGACCGACGTCTGGTTCCGCAGCCTCGAAGTGGAGCAGCAGACACCCGCCGCGCCGACACAATGCGGCATAAACCACGGTGGTCAGCGTGACCACCAGCCAGGCTGCACTGGCCGAGCAATGCCACCAGTTCAAACAAAGGGATCGCCTCGGCTCAGGCGGAGCAAACCAGCATGACGACAGACCTGCAAGCCTTCATGCCAGAAACGCGCTCTCGCGCCTCGGCCGACGAACGGGACCCGTGCGACGAGGCGGGCCTGTCGAACAGCATGCCAGGTAGCGCGTGGGCCCGGTCGCCCAGCATCGGGACTGAACACGAACCCATCAGGGTTACAGTGGAGGCCAGTCCACAAGAGACCTTCCACGAGCAACCCAACCCTGGGACCCCAGGGCGTCCGCCGATTTGTGGCGTGGGACGTCGCGCTCTCCACGGCGAGACCATCGAAACCCACAACCCTCGTCAAAATGAACCTCAAAAATGTCTGACGTGGTTGAACTGCTTGTCGGAAGTTCTTGGGCCGAGTATCGATGGTCGATGAGTGCGGGGTACTTGCATGCGCCGCCCCTCCAATGTCGGTCGACGTCAAACTTTCGAGTCAACTTCGGTCAAACTATCTTTGCCCTCGCCCCGACATTGAAGGGGAGGCGTGTCGACATTGAGGGGCGCGCCGAAATCGAAATGGCGTGCCAGCAACTGTTGAGGTTAATTTTGACGAGGGTAGCAGGAAACCCAGGGCACCCTGGAGGCGAGCAGGGTGCTTCCTGGCGCGGGCCCCCACTGTGGCGCAAGGGCCACAGGGACCGAAGCACCGACCGACGCCCCAAGCCTCGCCCCCCCAGCCGCCCGCGCCTGTCTCCGCCCAGCCGGGAGGGCCCCGAGGCAGCGGTCGCCAGCCAAGCGAAGAACCCCATGAACAGATATGAAGGGGCCCAAGAACACACAAATAAATACACACTAATAAAAAGTATTCCCCATATTTACGTAACAGCGAAGACTGATAGGTTTCTAGTGGTGTCAAAAGAGAGCATCTGATGACTCAGAAGGACAGCGAGGGCCGGGCTCAGGGCCGGGCTCGTTTTAAGCAAACAGTCACACACTTCGTGCTCTACGACCTCCCAGAACTCCATTCCCGGGCCACATTTTGAATGCCCGAAGCCAACTGTAGGCCACTTCGTGCTCTACGACTTCCCAGAACTCCATTCCCGGGCCACATTTTGGATGCTCGGAGCCAACTGTAGGCCACTTCGTGCTCTTCGACTTCCCAGGCTTCCATTCCCGGGCCACATTTTGGATGCTCGGAGCCAACTGTAGGCCACTTCGTGCTCTTCGACTTCCCAAATCTCCATTCCCGGGCGACATTTTCGATGCCCGGAGCCAACTGTAGGCAACTTCGTGCTCTTCGACTTCCCAGAACTCCATTCCCGGGCCACATTTTTGATGCTCAAAACCAATTGTAGGCCACTTCGTGTTCTTCGAGTTCCCAGAACTCCATTCCCGGGCTACATATTGAATGCTGAGGCAGGCTGATGCTGAGGCTGAGGCAGGCTGAGGCTGAGGCAGGCTGAGGCTGAGGCCGAGGCTGAAGGCAGGCTGAGGCTGAGGCTGAAGCAGGCTGATGCTGAGGCTGAGGCAGGCTGAGGCTGAGACTGAGGCAGGCTGATGCTGAGGCAGGCTGAGGCTGAGGCTGAGGCTGAAGGCAGGCGGAGGCTGAGGCACGCTGAGGATGAGGCCGAGGCTGATGCAGGCTGAGGCTGAGGCTGAAGCAGGCTGAGGCTGAGGCTGAGGCTGAGGCAGGCTGAGGCTGAGGCTGAGGCAGGCTGAGGCAGGCTGAGGCTGAGGCTGAGGCTGAGGGCTGAGGCTGAGGCAGGCTGAGGCTGAGGCCGAGGCTGAAGGCAGACTGAGGCTGAGGCTGAAGCAGGCTGAGGCTGAGGCTGAGGCAGGCTGAGGCTGAGGCTGAGGCAGGCTGATGCTGAGGCAGGCTGAGGCTGAGGCTGAGGCTGATGCAGGCTGAGGCTGAGGCTGAGCTGAGGCTGAGGCTGAGGCTGAGGCAGGCTGAGGCTGAGGCTGAGGCAGGCTGAGGCTGAGGCAGGCTGAGGCTGAGGCTGAGGCTGATGCAGGCTGAGGCTGAGGCAGGCTGAGGCTGAGGCCGAGGCTGAAGGCAGACTGAGGCTGAGGCTGAGGCTGAGGCAGGCTGAGGCTGAGGCAGGCTGAGGCTGAGGCGAGGCTGAGGCTGAGGCTGAGGCAGGCTGGCTGAGGCTGAGGGCTGAGGCTGAGGCAGGCTGAGGCTGAGGCTGAGGCTGAGGCAGGCTGAGGCTGAGGCTGAGGCTGAGGCTGAGGCTGAGGCTGAGGCTGAGGCTGAGGCTGAGGCTGAGGCTGAGGCTGAGGCTGAGGCTGAGGCTGAGGCTGAGGCTGAGGCTGAGGCTGAGGCTGAGGCTGAGGCTGAGGCTGAGGCTGAGGCTGAGGCTGAGGCTGAGGCAGGCTGAGGCTGAGGCTGAGGCTGAGCAGGCTGAGGCTGAGGCAGGCTGAGGCTGAGGCCGAGGCTGAGGCTGAGGCTGAGGCTGAAGCAGGCTGAGGCTGAGGCTGAGGCAGGCTGAGGCTGAGGAGGCAGGCTGATGCTGAGGCAGGCTGAGGCTGAGGCTGAGGCTGATGCAGGCTGAGGCTGAGGCAGGCTGAGGCTGAGGCCGAGGCTGAAGGCAGACTGAGGCTGAGGCTGAAGCAGGCTGAGGCTGAGGCTGAGGCAGGCTGAGGCTGAGGCTGAGGCAGGCTGAGGCTGAGGCTGTGACTGCGACTGCCGTTGCCACTGCGACTGCCATCGCGAATGCGACTACGACTGCGAGAACAGCAGAATTCTACAACAGGATTCTCATATCTGAATCTTAAGGGGAATGCTTCCAGATGTGCTCCTGCACATCGCTGTTAGGTTGCTTTGCCGGGATACTTTCCCATATTGTCTGGGTGTCTGTCTTCCCCCCTACTGCCCATATGTTCCCATATTTTTGGGGAATCGCCGATTAATTGTGTCTGTGTGTTTCTTTCCCTTCCGAAGATAGCAAGGCACCGTCATTCGCCGCACGGGGGGGCAGGAAAGGAAAGGAGAGGGGAGGAAAGGGGGGAATGAGAAAGCATCCCTGCCGCGATGCGATGGCGGCCATGGCCTGCAAGGGCTCCGAGCTCGGGACCCGGGCTGGGGGGGGAGGAACGAGGAGGAGGAGGAGGAGGAGGAGAAAGGAGAGGCGGAGGTGGACGAAGGAAAGATCAAAGATAAAACTGGAGCGGCGCTCGAGCCGATCTGCGATTGGCGAGCTGTGGCGCGCATCCGGTGGCCTGGGTTAACTACAGAAATTCAGATGTTACAACCCTTAAGACATCACTGAGATCACCGCGACAGCTGAGAGGAGAGAGGAGCAGGAGAAGGAGAGAAGAGAGGGGAGGGCTGATACGAAAAGTACCCTGATTCGAATCATTTACTCTCGCGAATGTTGTTACCCAGACGGGGCATGGCACAAGCTGCTTTGGCGCCTCGGACTCACCGAGGCGGCGCCCTCGGCTAAACAGAGGGCGCGGCCGCAGGCGCCGACCCGACAGGTGACGGGCCGACGGTGTTTGATTGCACGCGGCAAGCCACAATCTAAACGAGTTGCTTGGCCTGCGGATGCGGGCGTCCAAAGCAGCCGAACGCGATGGTTCGATATCGACAACTAGTCGGCGCCCGCCGCGCCCAAATCGTCAGCACGTGGCGAGAGCCGATCGACCATGCGACATCGCATCGCATCGCATCAATCCGCGCCGGCGCCGCGTGCCACAGGGGCCGCGATCCAAACGTCCAGAGCCGCAAGGCGCGCTGCGATACCAAAAACGTCTGTGGGAACATCTGCAGGGCGAAGCCCTGAACGTGAGGAAACAAGGCCCGTGGGCTCACGTTTTGTCGTGGAACCGAGGCTGCTCGCGATGTCGTAGAGCTCGTCGCGGACAGCATTAGGACCGCGCCCGCTGGGCCCGCATGCAAATGGGAGGCCGGGGGTGCCGACAGGCCCAATCACCCCGTGGCCGCAATTGCCGCAAGGAGTGTTGCGTGGGCCCGCTGCTTCGAGCCGCAACCGCACGGCCGCGACGAAGTCCTCATGGGAGAGCGCCCCTCTCTACCGGGCCCACGGCCCACAGCCATTCGTTGAGAACGTCTGGCTGGGGAGGCTTGCTGAGCAGCTGCCCGCGCCCCCAATCACGGGTTTCGCGCATCTTCGCCGGGAGGCCGCGCGCGACAGCGGCATCCGCAGAATGCGCGAGCTCGCTCGGCAGCCGCGGCCCGCCTTCGGGCACTGGGGCAGCGGGGTGCTCAGGATCCTCGGCGCCGGCGCATGGCACTACTAGGCCCGCGGCTTGGCATCCGCTGCCCCGCGGCCACACCTCCCCCCTCTCGTTCCCCCGGCGTCAGGCCGACCACCTCTCAAACCACACGGGGGCAGGACCGCTCGGAAAGCAGCTCATCCCAATCCCCGACCGTCCCCCACTGCACCTCCCGACCGCCCAGAAGGCACAAGGCGACCATGCCTCTGCAGGTGGGCGACCACCAGCTCCCCGCCCCAGGGGCCCACGACTGAACTGATGACGCGCGCGCGGTCTTGGCGACGAATCGCGAACTGGGCCCCGTGGCGAACCAGTATGAAAGGGGCCCCAGGACACACAAATAAATTCACACAAATAAAACAAGTCCCTATATTTTCCATATTTTCTGGGTTTTTGTCTTCCCCCCCACTTCCCATATTTTCCCAAATTTTCTGGGAATCGACGATTAATTGTGTTTGTGTGTTTTCCCCTCCTGACAGTAGCACCGCCGCCCGAACCCGGAGTGCGGGACCACGCCGCCTCACGCCCAGGCCCCCAACGCAGCGCCCTTCGCCGGCCAACCAACCGGGCGAGGTCAGCACGGAAGCAGCACGACCACCCGCCACCAGGCGGGGACGAGGCGGCCCAAAAATGTGCGCACCCCACGCGCAGGAGTCCCAGCCACACACGCTACCAATCATTTCAGCTGCAGGCGGCGAGACCATGGTGAAGGCACCACGGCAATACAGCCCCAGCATATCCTATCAGGGTGAAGGGATCCGACTGACGCCGCCGGTGCAGGCCACCGAGCAGGAGTCACGCCACGCAAGGCCTAACGGTCGCCAGTCTTTCGGCTGGCCCCGACCGAAGGACCCCATGTTCAACCAACCTGATGACGCTGCATCATAATGTTACCACACTTGGTCGTAAGCTGCGTCGCACCCAGGAACAGTCATATCTACGTCTTGACAGACCCCGAATAACACAGGAAACCTCGATCCACTTTCATCAGGCCCGATCGCCGTCTCGGGACCTCACGCTAGGCAAATCACCAAATGTGTTCGGATGCTCACCGAACATGGCCGTGCTCTGAGTGCGATGTGACAGCGGCTGGCAATTTCGCTTGAGCCCTAGCGGTGGCATGCCGCGGGGGGCGCCCCAAGGTGGCGCCGTTACCGTCGAAAGGCACCGTATCACGCAGGCCATCGCGAGCGCACAGTCGGCGTCGCTCTGCCCGCGGGCGTGCTGAGGGGGCGAGCCTCGGCCCTATCACAATTTCCCACGTTTATTTTCAACTCGAGGCCCTTACAGACTGCGCCAAGGGAGAAGATACCCCTGCCTCTGCTTTGCACAAGTGGCAGTTCCCGCCATAGGAAATGGGCGCGGCGGGCGCTTGAAAGTCTTACGCCCGTCTATCATGGGCACGGGCATTATGCAGGAACGGCTTGGCAACCAAGTACCAACTCGAACTTAGGTCGCGTCTGGTCTGGCGAACATCCTCTGCAAAGGATGGCAATGGGAGGGCGGGGGAGGGAAGCCGGAGGGTCAGTGGATGAAGAGATAGGGAGAGAACTGCGAGGAAGAAGGAAACGGATTTGGTTGGGATTGTCCCCCTACAGGCGAATTGTGACGAGCATGAAACATAAGCAAATACTCCGAAATGGCTTGGAATTTCATATGTTTGACTTTGTTTGAATATTCCCTCTGTAGAGGGACAGGCCCGACTAAGGATAGGGGAAGGGGGCGCAAGCGCAACGATGGAATGGGCAGGCGCCGTTCTCTACAGGGGGGCGGGGGGGCCAAGGGAAAAAAGGACAGGAGAGCGGAGTGAGGAAGGGGCACCATCGGCCAGGACGCCGATTGCCCACCGTGTAATCCGAGCGTGCCGAAACTGACGCTTCGCGCCATGCGCTTTGTTCCGGACGCTTCCCCGGCAAAGCAATCAGTCATAGCTTGCCTGAATGGGGGGAACCTCGAGGCCTGGACGGGCGATCGGCTCATTTTTATGATGTCCCTGGTGCCTGCTGACACCGCGTTCGCTGGATGCGCTTGCACGCTTGTGCGCAAAGGTGAGGGAAATAATGATGTATCTGTCACGACGAAGGTACTGGCAAACGACGAAGCATCAAACTGTTGCGATGGCACCTGTTCATGGACGGGAAACGGGGAGCAGGGATGAGAGGGGGGCTGAGGAGGCGTAAGGGGGGAGGAGGGGGGCAGAAACGGGGAGAAGGTCCAGAGGAACGAGCGGGCGAATAAGGATGGCCATAGGTTGCCACGAACGTGGAGGTCGACGAAGAAGGCAGAGGGGGGAAGGGAGAGAGAGAGAGAGAGAGAGAAGCAGAGAGAGAGAGAGGGTGATAGAGGTACGGGGAAGACAGGCGGGCCGGCGTGAGCGCAACGAGCGCACGGATAACGCCGTCTGGACGTTTTTAGGGTTTTTGTTGGGCCGTCCTGGGGCCTGGGGCCTTCTTGGGCCGTCTTGGGGAGCTGGGGCCCTCCAGAGGTCTTCTGAAGCCATCTAGGGCCCTCTTGGGGGCCTCCAGTGGCCTTCTTGGGGGTCTCAGATGGTTTTCGTGGGTCTCTCTTGGGAGCCTTCTGGGGGCATCCTGGGTTTCTTGTGGGCAGTCTTGGGGCATTTTTGGGTCGTCTTCAACCTCTCTGGGTGGCCTCTTGGGCCGTCTTGAGGCGACATCGGGGGCCCATCGGGCCGTCTTGTACGCTGCGAATATCCAAAAGCGGATATGCTAAGAATAAACATCTTCCTAACGGAATGACGGGATTTTTGCTTCTTCGGGGCTCTGTTAGCGGCCTCTTGGGGCGTCTTGGGGCCTCGTGGGCCGTCTTCGGACCATCGAGGTTCCTCTTGGAGCGCTCTTGTGCTGTCTTGGGTCTCTCTCGCGCCTCTCCGATGACCCCTCCGATCGCTTTGAATCTGCTCGCAAGGCCCGGCAAGGCGCCCTGGGAGGCCCAGAAGGGCCAGCGGACCTTTTCTAAGGGCATCCGGGGGGCCGCCGAGACGTCCGAAAAGGCGTCCAAGGCGTCCCTGGGGGAGGGTCCGGTTTAGGGGTGGGGAAAGGGGTGAGGGGGGTTCCGGAAATCCGCCGACCCTGTCGGCGCGTGGAAGACGCGTCGTCCTCGGCGCGCCACCCTCGGCGCACCTACATCGTAAATGAGCTACCGCGCCACCCTCAACGAAAATGAGCTCCATCGTAATTGAATCGAAGGGAAGCTTCTTCCCTTCGATCCCTTCCCCGCCGAGGGGGGGGGGTGTCCCGGGGGGGGTCCGGGGGGGGGTAGCCAGCCAAATACGCATCCTCCCCCTGGCCTACTTTTCTGATTTTTGTTGCCCATCCCGAACATGTGGGGGAGTGTCCTCCTCCTCACTCTTCGCCTCCCCCTTCTCCCTCCTACCTCCCTCCTCCTCGGGAGGGGCCTTCCCTTTGATCCGTTCCTCGCCAGGGAGGGGGGGGGGCGCCACCCTAAACGTCGTCGTCGTCGTCATCGTCCTCCTCCACCTCCTCCTCCTCGCGTCTTCCTCCTCCTCCTCCTCATCGCGTATTCCTCCTTTTCCTCCTCCTCCTCCTCGTGCTTGACTACCTCCGGCTGCCACCTTCATCGTGGGTGTCGTCTTCCAGGGTCGGCGGCACCGGCCGTAAGGCCTTCGCAATAACAATATAAACATAGGACTAGATCTAATATATAGAAATGTACATAACTCTGTTCCTCGATCACCCTCTAATGTGACCTCCGGAATAATGGCGTCGGGGAGGAGCTCCCCTCTCTCCGTCCGCGTCAAGATTAAAATCGAATTTGAACTTCTCAATGTCTGTCCTGAACCTGCGCTTGCGCCCACACCCTACACTGGCAAAGTCCAGAGCGGGCGAGGGCCCGTCGGGGGCGTCTCTCTCACGGGCAGCAAAGAAATCGAACACGGTCGATCGGACGGTGTTAACGTGCTGGAATACTGGAAAATAGGGGCCTCCTGGAACTGAAAGTCGTTCTTCCCACAACCTAGAAGAGAGCTGATACTGTTCACGATGCCAGCAACGAGGGCCTTACAAAGGCCACAAATGTAGGCCTTCTGAAAGGCCGTGAGAAAATCACCGTCAAAGCGTTTGACCACAAGGGTGTTATGAGCACCTGTGCCGTGAAGCAGCGACCCTGGCCATGCGTGCCCCGCAACAAACCAGGCAGAGTGGGCATGCGGTCTGTCCTGCCCCCTGTGGCAGGGCAAACCGAAGAGTCCGGCCAGTAGGATAATGCCAACGTCTCAATATGCGCTGATGAGTCCCATCCGCCCTCGCATGATGATCATCATCAGCATCAGCATCAGCATCAGCATCAGCATCAACATCAGCATCATCATCATCATCATCATCATCAGCATCAGCAGCAGCATCATCATCATCATCATCATCATCATCATCATCATCATCATCATGATCATGATCATGATCATGATCATCATGATCATCATCATCATCATCATCATCATCATCATCATCATCATCATCATCATCATCATCATCGGCATCAGCATCAGCATCAGCATCATCATCATCAGCAGCATCATCATCCTCATCATCAGCATCATCATCGTCCTCGTCATCATCATCATCATCATCATCAGCAGCATCAGCATCAGCATCGTCAGCAGCAGCATCATCATCAGCAGCAGCAGCAGCATCCTCATCATCAGCAGCATCATCATCAGCAGCATCAACATCAAAAGCCCCGCCCCAAAGGGTAAGCCCTCCCGATGTTTTTGTCGTACCACTCCGCGCAGGACTCGCAGCCCGTCCCCTCGAAGATCGAGAGCCCCTGGTGGCATAGCGTCGGCATGTACAGGGCCACGACGCCCTCAAGGGGGGGAGGGGGGGGGAGGCTTGAGAAGCAGAGAGGCGGGGGGACGAGTCCCTCCTCCTCCTCCTCCTCCTCCTCCTCCTCCTCCTCCTCCTCCTCCTCCTCCTCCTCCTCCTCCCCCTCGTCCTCCTCCTCCTCCTCCTCCGCCTCCTCCTTTTCCTCCTCCCCGGGGGGAAGGGAGGAATGGGAATGGGAATGGGAAAGGGAAAGGGGCGCTCGTTCGGGCGAGCGCCCGGACCCCTGAATACAGGGACAGGGGAAGGATCTGGACTCGGGTCAGGAATGAGCCCCTTTCTCCAAGCAGCGGGTCGGCCCTGATGAACCAACAAAAAGGACCCCTAACCCTTTGGGAGGAGATCCGAGTTAGGAGGGCCAACGAAACATTTGGGATAGGGGGTCACTTCTGCAGATGCATCAGGCCAGACCGCCCCGATGTATTATCCCTAATTCGCAGACGGGGACCTGAGTGAGGCCACGTCTTCATCGTGATAGGGGTTCTTTTATTCCCGATGAGACCCAGAGCAGTAACACAGAGAGAAATGAAGAGGCAGGAAGACCGCGACGAGCAGGTGATTAATGACAGGGCGGGCCTGGAACGCGAACCTATCGGACGCAGAAGGCAATCGCCCGATCGATCAAGAAAACGGGACGCCATCCGACTTTCAGCGCGGGATGCCGAATTCGGAAGATGAGGGGAAGCAGGGCGACGAGCTGCGAGGTGGCGGGGAAAACTAAAAACGAACGCCCTAAATGCGTCCGTGAAACTGTTGAGAAATTTAGAAGACGAATGCGCGCGTCACTACGACGATACCTCTTCTTGAGAATGAGAACCGCGTTCCGTCCGTGTGACTGCTCAAAACGGTTAAGACCAATATGCGCGGCGCCGGGGCGAGAACCACACTTTGAATGCAGACCCCTATGTCCTTTTACATGTTGGAGCTTCTAAGACGAATGTACGCGACGCTACGAGCCACACTTGAAAACCCCATCCGCACAGCCAATGTGCATGGAAGTGTGGCGAAGATCACATGTGGACAAGGAGCCACCCCCCGTCCGTGCAACTGTTGCGCGGCGCTGAAACGACAACCACATGTTGAAAACTCCAGCCTCCATCCGCGTGGCTGTCGAGAGGTTCAATGTTCAGGGTCACAAGCGCGGAGGAAGAGCATCCAGCGAAACGCCAAACCCGCCCTACCGACACGCAGTGGCCAGACGAGGAATATCAATGAGGAAAAGGGGTGACGAGAGGAAGGATGACATCGTTTCCACGCCCTGTGCTGGGCTGGACACTTTCAGGCGGACAGGACAACACAAGCCGGCGCGGGAGCGCCACCAGATACGCCCAACCCTCCAACCCCGACCTGGACCCAAGAGGACCCCGAAGGGGGCCAGGAGGGGGAGGCAGCATCCACGGGGATACCCACTCCAACCTCCGCTACAGTGCGTGCACGGCCGCAAGAAACCCTCGCAAGAAACCCAACCCTGAAAACCCGCGCGCGAGGCGCACCCCAGGGGAAACCCAGAGCACCCTTACCGCAGCGGCCTCTTCGACGGCTGCGGAAATGCACCGCGCAGCTCGCGGAGCGAAGAAACCCAGGGTGCCCTGACAAGCAGTACATAGTTTCTTGATGCGCGCCCCCACTGCATCTCACGAGAGCCGTCCCGGCGGCTCGGCACCAAGGAGGGAGGAGGACGAGCACCACGTGGGCCCGCCAATTCAGAGAGGAGGAGAGAAAACAGTGGGGGGCTGTTAGGGGCGAACCTTGGACGGCGAAGGGCAAGAACACACCACGGCGAGTTCCCAATCTGAGAACCATCCGACGGGCACAGTCCTCGTGCTACTCAAGAGAGCGCTGCATAAGAAACGAGGGGGCTTTTTTGAAAGCGGCGAGCCACGGCAGCGCAGCGGCTCCCCAGCCCAGATCTAAGAGAACCCCCAAAAAACAAGAGCCCCTCCTGAGCCCCAGGCGGTCCTTCTTATCTCAACGTGTTGACTGTGCAGTAGGAGCCCGTCCACAAAAAAACCTTCCACAACAAAAAAAACAACCCTGCGACCCCAGGACGTCCATTGAGTTCTGGTGGGATCGTCACGCTGACCACAGCAAAACCATCGACACCCTGGAGGCGAGCAAGGCGCTTCTTGGCATGGGCCTCCACTGTATGCGGCAGAATGCGCCCGTCATGGGGAGCGGCCAAGAGAAATCGCGCCTTCACGACGACCTCCGACGTGATCGCCCCTGAGAGCATCAGGACCCACACTTGCACGCCTGCGGCCCGCGACCAAGGCAAATGGAGGCGAGCTCGCGCGCGCTCGGAATGCCGGCGCGTGTGCCCGCGTCCGCCACCACACAGGCTGCGCAAAATCACGCATAGGCTAGGCTGCGACACCTCGGGCGCGCGCGTCTGTGTCTGTGACTGTGTGTGTGTGTCTGTATGTGTGTTTGTCTTTGTATTTGTGTTAGTGTTTGTGTGGTGCGGTTGTGGTCGTGGTTGTGTTTGTGGTTGTGTTTGTGTTTGTGTGCGTGTGTGTGTTCGTGTTCGTGCTTGTGTTTCTGTTTGTGTTTGTGATTGATGTTGTGTTTGTGTGTTGTGATTGTGCTTTTTGTGTGCTTGGGATTGTGCTTGTGTTGTCGTTGTGTTAGTGTTAATGTTTGTGTTTGCGTTTGTGTGTGAAAGGGGGGGTGCGCGTGCGCGTGCATGTTCGGCGGCGCGTTCACGCGCCCGTGCCCTTGTCCGCAGATGTACGCCTGTCTGCCCGCGTACCTCTGCACATCAGTCGGTCAAGATGCTCTTTTGCAGCTGCCGCTGTGCTGTCCCCAAAATAAAATTGTCCCCAGGGCGGCGGCGGAAAGGCGGCGGAACGGGAAAACGAAAACGGAAACAACAAACCGCCGGCACTCGAAACGAACAAACATGAAACCGGGAACAAGAAACACGATGCTCGTGTCCTCCACACACACACACCACATACATACATACAGACGCACAGACATGTGTGACACAACAACAGCAACAGCAACAGCATCAGCAACAGCAACAACAAAAGCAACATCAACATGCAACAACAGCAACCGCAGCTGTAACAACAACAACAACAACAACAACAACAACAACGAACATGTTCAGACTCTTCGTTTTTGTTCGCGCGACGTTCAGCACGTAAATCACATACCCTCGATACCCACCCTTTTCGTTTTCTATTGTATTCTCTTCGGGGTATATATATATATATATACACCTGACCTGCCGTTCGAATGCAACTCAGTCCCTTTCAGTAGGGGAAAAAAGGACGGATGGAAACAAACAGAAAGAAACGATGGAGCACGGGATAAATTAGCAGGAGTGGGGCCTAAGAGCAGAAAGCACGTGGCAAAATCAAACTGGCAGATCGGGCGGGCAAACCCTAACGGGCGGGTTGGGAACGCGGGCTCAAGCGGCCACGTCGAGCAGGCGGGATGCTGAAGCGTGAATCCCGGACGAATCGCGAGGCGACCGACAGCGCGATTTCCAAATAACTCGCGAGAGAAATTGAAGCGAGAGCGTGGCCCTGAATTTCGAAGGAGCGGAACCGGAGAACATTGCGATGAATCCAAAACGGGATTTTGGAATACCTTGTGTGAATACATATCAGGCAGGAGCCGTCGTGGTTGTAGTTCGGGGGCCAACAACCCTGTTTGGTGACACCTCGCTGCCCCTCGTTTTTCTAATAAAAAAGGGTGTGAGCACCGCGAAGAGCACTGTACTTGAAAAGTGCAAAATGGTTACCGGGCAGGGATATCATCAAGAATTATCATTGCTGCTCATTGTCCTGCGGTGACCGTTTGATGTCAGAGCTGGCAGGGGCATATGCTTTGATGGCTGTGGCTTAAAATCAAGTTTCCCAGAAGGAGCGCTCAGACGGGGCAGGTCGGGGCGGGGGTAGCTTGAGCAACACTACGGCGGCAGTCGAACACTTCTCAACAAGCGCATACGACGCAAAGACATGCTGCCCATTTTTCGGCAGTGAGCGTTTGATGTCAGAGCTGGCAGAAGCATGCGCTTTGAAAACTGTGGTTTAACATCCAGACCCTTACGCTACAACGGAAATTTACAGCGAAACGATTAGCTGTTTTTTCAACAAAGGAGCCTAAGGACCCCACGAAGTCAGGACCTTGGGACGGCGGAGTGGCGTCAGCGATGACTCTGGAAAAGAGCCCTCGCCAAGAAATCGCAAAACCTGGAATGGTAGTGAGCGGCGTTGCTTGCCACTGACGAACCAATAAGGGTGAGGTGTTCACTACCAAGCTTAATGCTGCAGAAATCAAGTTGCCAGCGAAGCAGAATCTCCGGGACTCCATCCGAAGAAGGTCAACATCAACGACGTTATGAAATGAAGGTCGGTCGCGTTGCGGCATCTGGTTCCAAAAGCGCACTGATGAATCGCAATCCTACTGGGCCCTCCGGATGCACGATTGAGATGGGGATCCTGCCAAAACGGGAAGGTATGGGGGTTCTCGAAGGCACAGGGGATCTGATGCTTCTTACGAACCCTGAGATCTGCAATGAATGTGTCCAGACACGCGCTTCCTACCTGAATCTTTCGACGGCCAGCTGCAACCGGATTTTAGAGGCCACGGACGCGCAGGGCAACACGCACAGGAAAGCGACTACGTGCCACAGTTCATGTCGAGCAAGGAGGAGCCACCATCACCGCCACGATCCAGCCTTCGGTCGAGTGCCGTAAGATAGCTCGAACATGTGCTTCTGACGTGAGGTCCTGATGGAGAGCATTCCGAAACTCAAGACCCACCGCTGGCAGCCCCCTCGGGCGACCGATCGCAGGAGGCTGGCGCCGCCACCAACACGGTCGAACACGCATCGCGAAAAAGGCGCGCTCAGGAGAGCCTGGGGCCGCAGCGGCGCCCAGCGCCTCCACGAGCCTGGGGCCCACGGGGATTGAGAGCGGGGCCCACGCATCCCCGAGCCTGGGGCCGCAGCGGCGCCGGCTCGCCCTGCAGCACCGCTCTCTCGAACGACCGCACGTGCTGCGCCGCGTGGTCCTGGTCGTCCCTGCTGGCATCGCTCCAAGCCTGGTTCACGCGGCTTGCCTTCTCGTGGCGGCGGGCGGCCTTCAAGGCCTGCGGGCGCCCCCTCGTCATCACCTGCTCCTGGGTTCGGAGGCCCTCGGCGCGGCCTCCGCCGGCCCCGGCGTGGCGGCCCTGGCACGGCACCTCCGCCCAGCGCAGGCTGAGGCACGCCCTGCGGAACACGCCCACATACTCGTGGTAGGTCTGGTCCAGGAGGCGGTCCGATCCCTGCCGCCGCAACAACACTCGATAGACGCTCTCCGTGAAGCCGAGTCTCTGGGAGCCCAGGGGGACGCTGTCGTCGCTCTCCCGCGTCTTGCTCCTCAGGTTCCCCTCCTCGGTAGATATCAGCAACACGCAGGTCGCCGCGCCGCCGGGGGCCGGGGGAAGGTCTGCGGCGCGAGGCTCAGCGTCTCCCCTGGGCGCAGATGGCACTCCACCATGACCAGCGACAGCACGGCCGCGAGGAGGTGTCCCATCCTGGCGATTTCGGTGCAGGTGGCTGCCACATACCGATCGTCAAGGGCCGCCGCGAACTAGATGGCGACGCCTTGCACCAGCCCTCGAGGGTCCGCAGCGCAGCGCGTGTGGCAGGTGATCGGCGCCACGTCGCTCATACCGAGGCATGTGGAAGATCGCCCCGGCAAGCAGTTCCTCACCCCTCCAGCTCTTGTGGCCCTTCCCAAACTCGTGGTTCACGAAGACCACCAGCGCGGCGGCAAGGCGCTCGGGCCGCTCCATGATCGAGCCCGAACTAGTAGCGCCAGCTCAAGAACTCTTGGACGCGCCGGCAGCAGTGTAGGAGGCAAGTAATGGGAGGTCTTCGTCGGACGGATTAAGGAGGACCAAACCCCATTGGAGGGCTGTTTTTCCAGAGTGGGCCTCGGATTAAGCGGGATTGAGCCGGATTCAGCGCAAGCGGGATTAAGCGGGCTTAGCCCGGATGTCGGCCCAGGGCAAGATCAGAATTTGACCTCCCAGGAGTTGCATCCGAAGGTAGTGGGCAGCAGCCGCCGGCGCCGCCGACCTGATCTCCAGCGGCGTCAGCCTGGCGGGCAGCGCGTCACCGTCCATGAGCGCGGCGAGGGCCTGTCGGAAGTGGCCCTTCCCGCGCCGGCAAAGGCTCCGCTGGCGAGCCGCCGCAGCTGCTCGCTCACTGGGGCACTCGGCCACGCACTTGTGAGTTCCTGGTGGAGTGAGAGAACACTGGGCTACACTGGCAGGACTCATGACGGCATCTTAGGAGGCAACTAGTATACTGGGAGGTCTTCGTCGGAAGAATTGGAAAAACATTACGTCCCAGTGCGGGGCTATTACGCTGGAAATCGCCTCGGATGAAGCGGGATCCAAACGGATTAAACGGGATTAGACGGGATTCAGCCGAATGAAACGGGATTCAGCGGGAGTTCAGACCAGGGCAAAATCAGAATTTGACCTCCCAAGAGTTGCATCCGAAACACTGGAAAGACTCATGACGGGATCCGTGTGTTCCGTCAGCTTCGTCGGTCTAGGTCTGCGCATTTGGTCGTGTCGCCTTTCTTTATGCTCGTGCTGCTCATGGCGGTCAGGGGGTTGCTCAGAGTTCATTGCGAAGACTCTTCTTGGCGGTATTCCTGGTAATCCTCCTTCCTCGTCCCACCTCCAACTCCCCCTACTCCTACTTCTCCTCCTCCTCCTCCTCCTCCTCCTCCTCCTCCTCCTCCTCTTGCTCCTCCTCATTATCCTCTTGCTCCTCCTCCGGTTCCTCCTACATCCTCCTCCTCCTCTTGGGGTACGACGTCATACCCAGCCTTGTATTCCACTACATTATCCTTCACATCCCTGATCAAGGCAACTCGTCTGGGCATCGTTTCTGGACGGGCTGGTGGGTTTGCATGGAACGTCTAGAATAAACTGTGTGTTTGTTCTCTGTATGCCTCTTCTCTCAAAGCCGATTTCGACCGTGAAATCATCCAGCTGTAGTCCTGCCTGTCTCTCAGAGCCGATCTGAGCCGTGTATATATATATATACGCATACACAACTACTTGTATGATTGTAGTCGCTTATTCCTTGAACTATATATATATATATAGATATGTATATATCACTTCAAATACCCAGAACCGACAGGAAGCACGCGACGAAAGGGTGCAATACCCCTGAACGACTGTGTCGGAGCAAAGGTGCCGTCGTTGTTTTCGTTGTCGCCGTTGACCGCGTCGTCGTCGCTGCCGTCATCGTATCCACCTCTGGCAAGAACGTCCAAAGACCTGGACCACCCAAGCTCGATCCTCTCTCCACCGCTCCATGCACCCTGCCTCTCTCTCTCTCTCTCTCTCCTGAGGTCTGGGGAGCGAGGGAGAGGACGAGAGCCACCCAGAGGCCGTGAAAGCGCCAAGAAGGATATCCAGAAGCCTGTGTCGGGCCTCGGTCCTCCTCCTCCGCCTCCGCCTCCTCCTCCGCCTTCACTGTCCTCCTCCTCCGCCTCCTCCTCCTTCGCCTTCACGCCTTCACTGTCACTGTCCTCCTCCTCCTCCTCCTCGTCCTCCTCGATCCCTGGGAAAAGGGGGGAGAGGACGGGGCCGGGACAGGAGGGGCCCGCGAGGGGGGCGCCTTGGATGCTCAGCCTCTGGTAGCCGGAGATCGTGTCCAGGTAGTGCGCGTCGTGGCTGCGCTCCTGCCCCCGCCCCCCCCGCCCTTGGGAGGCCTGGAAGTGGGCACCAGCACCGAGACGGGGGGCTGCCTCCACAGGGGGGAGAGAGGATCCTAGATTTTTCGATGCTGGTGGTAATGCTTCGGCCACCTCGGAGGCCAGACTATTACCACCATCGCCGAGATCGGGATCTCTCTTCCCTCGGTGGAGGAGCATCGCCGACATCGGTGTTGGTGTCGATCTCCAGGCCTGCGAGGCCCCCCGCCCGCGGGGCCCGCGAAGGCCCGCGGGCCGCCCCGCCGCACGCGAGCAGGCGGCCGCTCGCGGCCGGCCACAGGGGAGGCGCCGACCCCCTATCCCCAGGCGTCGTGGGGTGCTCGAGCGGACGTGCCGTCGCTCGGACGTCCATTCCCCGTGCACTTGTCGATGTCGTGCGTGTTTTTTTTGTTGCTCGATGGTCCAGGAGGGTCCTCGGATGGTTCTCGCCGAGAAAAAAAGAGGCACACGTCCGAGCGATGCCAAGCCAAAGAGTTGGGGCCCGACCCTGGGATGTACACGATATGGGGGGGGACGTCCCGCCTCGATCGGGAGGCGTCTGAGTGGCCCCTCTCGGGGTAGATCCCTGGGTTGTCCCCTGTCTCTGAGCGGCCAAACTGTTGGGGCGGAGCTCGGGGACGGGGGCAGAACAATCGCCTGCGAACCAGGACGCCGGCAGGAGGGAGGAGGGAGCCCGTGAGCCCCTCGGGTCATGAAAAAATCCTGACGGGATGTTTTTCTTTCTCTTCTGCCTCCCGGGGCCCTCGCCGGGCCTCGGGACCGTCCAAGAGCGACTCAGGATGAAGA